CTGTAGACACAACAGGAATCAAGGGAAATCTATCCAAATTAGAGTAGTTAGATAGTTGTCTTCATCTTAGATAGTTGTCACTGGAAGAAGTGTCCCCATTTGAAGATTTATCTTCTATTTCTGTTCTCGTGATGACTTACTTTAAGTCTTCTTCATTTTTTTGGTTTGTCCCAACCCTTACTGACTCTTTGATGGACAACTTGTTGAGCATGTAAATGTATAGAAAAATATTTATGTATTGCAGGTATTTATACACTGAGTGGCCAGATTATTATGACCACCCCATCAGTACTTTGTTGTGCCTCCTTGTGACTCCACGAGATGTTGAAAGGTGATGCGAGGAATCTGACACTGCACTGTTGCCCTTCTGTTGTCTTGTACCAGTCTTGCCACTCTCCGTTCTGCCCTAACATTGACTAGTCGCTGACGGCCACAATTCGCACGTTCAGACCCAGATTTTCGGCTGACAGTCCAGTCTTTAAACACTTTAACAACAGCTGCTCTTGAACATTTAACGAATTCTGCAGTTTTGCTGATACTTGCTTCACGGCTCCGAGCGCCAACAATCATCCCACGTTCAAAGGCTGTTAAATCGCATTGTTTACCCATATCGTCTGAAAGAATTCCCTTCTACTGTCGTGGTAAACAACCTGCTTTCCTATTTATAATGGTCTGGCCCTCTAGCAACTTTAGCGCCAAATTATAGCTAATTTGCCTACAAACTTCAGGTGGTCATAATAATCTGGCCACTCAGTGTATAGTGCTGTCAGTTAACACTTTACATACTATTGATTCAGGAAGAGCTTGGGATCAGAATGAACCCAGTCCGAACCTGTGCTCCTCCGAACCAGGACGGAGCTCCTCTTTAACTGAAGGTCCTTCCGTGCTGCCCAATCAGCTACAATGTTCGCAGCTTGATTGAAGCAAAGGGGCGGGATGCAGTGATATCATCAACTTTATATTATTATTATAACCAATCAGGAAGCTGGGCGGGGAGTCATTGGCCAGGAAGCCAGCTCCATGCTTCCTGGTGACCAGGAAGCCGGGCAGCGTGTAAAGACTCAGATGTTCCGGTATCTGGAGAGGCATCAAGAGCATTTGGGCAAGTACGAGTACTCGTCCAAATACTCGGCAGCGATACCGATACTAGTATTGCAACATGTTGATCAGTGTTAATGCACGATGATCATCTAATTTAAAAACAATGTTTACCAAACCCGGTTTGTTATGAAACAGCCGCCTGTTCATTCCTAGGATGAAAAAGAGAGGTACACTTAACATATTTTTGTTTTACACGTGAAGCTCCAGAAGTCTCTGTGCTCCTTTATGTAACATAGACCAGATGTTCTCAGCGGGGAGCCCACTTTTCCTGATATGTTAGACTCTTCTCATTACCACAGGTATTGGAAGGTCTGCAAAGCCCCAAAGCACACAGCTTATAAAACCTGCTCTGCTGAAGATGATTTGTGACAATACATATACTGAGGAAAAGAAGATACCATCTGGATAGAATAGTTCTGGTTACACACGTTACAATGATTGTACAGATCAGCAAAAATTTAAGAATTTCCCTCCTAAAATGCTGAAAATGGAACTGATAAAAAGATTGCAACGTGTGGCACATCTTTATTATCCAAGTCCATCAATAAATAAAGTATATTTCCCTGACACCTGTAAAAAATGTTTTAAAAAGTACCTTTTGCTGCAATACTAACCTTCTCCCTGGCACTGTCCTACACAGGCAACCACTCCCTGTGAGCCCAGGCTGTCAAGACACAACCCCTGGGAGGCATCATCAGACAACCACTTCCTGTGAACCCAGGCTGTCAAAGACACACCCCCTGGGGTGGCATCGTCAGACAACCACTTCATGTGAACCCAAGCTGTCAAAGAAACAACCCCTGGGGTGGCATCATCAGGCAACCACTTCCTGCGAACCCAGGCTGTCAAAGACACACCCCCTGGGGTGGCATCGTCAGACAACCACTTCATGTGAACCCAAGCTGTCAAAGAAACAACCCCTGGGGTGGCATCATCAGGCAACCACTTCCTGCGAACCCAGGCTGTCAAAGACACACCCCCTGGGGTGGCATCATCAAGCAACCACTTCTTGTGAACCCAGGCTGTCAAAGACACACCCCCTGGGGTGGCATCATCAGACAACCACTTCCTGTGAACCCAGGCTGACCAAGACACACCCACTAGAGTGGCATCATCAGGCAACCACTTCCTGTGAGCCAGGCTGTCCAAGACACACTCCTAGAGTATCATCATCAGGCAACCGTGTGATGCTGCATAGAATGGCACATACAAGTTACGTAGTCAGGATGAAAAAAGACACAAATTCATTGAGTTCAACGATGGACTTGAAGTTGAAGTCACAATTTTTTGTGCTGTTGAATTCACCATTAAAGCCCACCATTGGCTGAAACTGAAGATAGAGGACTACGCTGGTCACGTAACAAGATAGAATTCCCCTGGAATTAAAGGTATGTATACTGGAAATGGGGGTGCAGGTGCAGGGGTAAAAATTAATTTAGAGGTTTAAAATTCCATTGTATTGTATCATCCGGTGGTGTTCCTAGCCTTTTTGCCACCTGATGCGGAAGGGGTGGCTTGTTGCATGCAATCAGAGCAGCGGGAGGTGGTTAGAGGAGACAGTGCCACCAGACATGAAAGTGACGCCGCCCTCTGCAGGCTCTGCATGTCCCTGCCCGGCTCTTAATGTCCCGCCACACTCCTGGCAGCCAGTGGCATCAAGAGCTGGGCAGGATGCCAGCCAGAGCATCTCAGGTTGCTAAGAGCAGGGTGGGAAGATGTGTACGGCCCTTTGCGTTTCAGGTGTTAAACCCCCTTCTTCAGAGCAATACAGTAAGCTCTGATGGAGGGGGTTTAAGCCCTGAAACACGTTACCTATTATCCACCATCACATGCTGAAGGCTCTCTGTCTTCTTTGTTCCATACTTGGGTTATTGATCATGGAATTATTTGCTGAGGTTATCTGGACTGAACATGTGAGTAGAATGGATGTCTGATTTATACATTCTCTTTTAATAAAAGGTATCACATGAGGAGAAGGCGCTGTTTCTTTGATGTCTTTTCATGATCTCCCTATCCATGTCTGAACAGCTGCTCTTCCTGGTGTAAGCGCATGCTAAAGAAGATAGTACCCTTTAGGATTACTAGTGGCCACCATCAGCGCTGCGGTGGCTGTTTGAGACTAACCTTAGAATAATGTTTGATGTGTCTTTTAGATTTTTACATTCTTGCTCTTCCATACTTTTGTTCCTGTATTGCATATAGTTATTTGTAGACTGACCACTAAAGGGAGCTCTGTATAAGACTCAGCCGCATTCAACGCCTTTTCATGGAGAAATTGGAACATTAATCATTCGTAGAATCACCATAAAGGCCAACTACTAATAGGACCAACACCACCCCCTTCAAAAGCCACTTATACTCACCATCATACGCTACACCATTCCATCGCCGCAGAAACTCAGCCTTCTATTCCACACTACTAAAGGGAACTCTGAACCACAGTTGGCCATTCAATAAGGGACTAGGAAGCACTGATCCTGCTTCCCCTTCCATTTACAGCTCTTGTATTCTTCCACAAAGGCTGCAAATTCATATCAAATGTTGGATGAGATTTCTTTTATAGCGCCGTCAATTAACCTCTCCGAAAAATCTGTATCATGGCCAAGGCTTTGGAGTTTAAACTAGGCCAAACTTGGATTAGCGCCTTCTCTGACAAACCATTTCACTTAGAATAAATTGCAGACTCAGAAAAGTGGCCGTTTTATAAATTATTTATTTACCATATTGATATTTACTCGGAGCTTTCCTTTAAAGCCAAACAGCAGGTATATAAAAAACAATTTGGGGCGGTTATGTGTTTATTCTAAAAAAATAAATGTATTATTTAATGCAACAAGTGTAACTACTCGATTATTTCTTGGCATCCCTTTAATCCCCCACACAGCTGAAAAGGGAGGGTCAATGCTTGTAGCCAATCAGGATCTGCTGCACTGCACATGTGATAAGAGTAAACATGCTGACATGAGAGAGCAGAGTAATGAGTGATCAAGCCTATCCCATCTCAACCTAACCACTCAACCATCACGTTCTCAAACAATTCATCCCCACACAGCTAACTCCTCATGTATCACTTGCCCTCCCTTTTAGATTGTAAGCCCTCAGGGGCAGGGCCCTCCTTAACATCTTGTCTTGAATTGTATTGTGATTGTAATGTCTTCCTCATATTGTAAAACGCTGCGCCAACTGTTGGCGCTATATAAATCCTGTATAATAATAATAATTGTGGTGACGCTAATCTTGCACTGTCTAATCAGCAAGCTGGGGGCATGTTCTTGACCAAGTTGTGCTGCTGCTATTGCAGTGAAGGTCAAGGAATTGGCTGTCCTGTCGTCCAGGGTGCCCGGATCACAATACTGGTTGCACAGTACAAGTAATCCTTAGAGAGGTAAAACAATACCTATATATTTATCTCAATTGTACCTTTAGCTGGTTGTCTGGGGCTCCAGTTTAAAAGCAGAGAGAGACAGGGGAATCTTTTGTGCACAAAGCCGTAGTAATACAAAGCCAGACCCCTGTAGGCTGGTGTTGGCTGTGATTCAGCAATACTGATAATAAACTTTGTAATAATAGCATCCTGACAGCTAACTATTGTTACCCTAAATCTAACTTATCTAAAACATTCTGTTCCACTTAGCAATGACCTATATTCCTAATTGTGACTCATTAAAAAGTGATATACCAGATAATGACCTCATCATTTTAGAAATATTAAAACCAGCAACTCGAGCACCCAAACAATAATTTGTTTCTGTTGGAAGTACCTTGTTGGATGATTTTGCACAATGTAATCAGAGAGAATTATTGCATTCTAGCTTTGCCTGTGAAGTGAAAGTCATACACGCAGCAAGAGCAAAAGACAAGCTTATCTGCAGCTCAGATATGGAGCCTGTCTTAGCCAATCAGAGGAAAGGATTGTTTCCAGCCTGTGGAGAGGAGGCAGCTGGAACTATTTGTTGAGGCAAGGTCACAGGAAGTTGGGCATAGGGGTAACCCATTGCAGGGTGAAGAGGGAAGGTAGCAGGAAAAGACTGTAGTGGCATCGGGAGGCTGGTTGGCACTGGAAATAAAGGCATTGGTGGTAGGGTCCTTAAATGATTAATTCCAGCGTCCATTGTGGTGGTTGGCATAAGACCAGGCATTGGCATGGATGGCAGTGTTGCAGTAGCGATCGGTACAGGAGAGGCAGCCCTCATTTGGTTCAGAGAAGGCCTCAGGTCTCCATGCTGGAATGGGTTGGCGGCTGGTGAAGCACTGACACCTAAAAGTAGAAAAAAAAATTAGAATCAAGCTTCTCTTCCATTATCATCATCATCATTGTACTTTGCTTCATGTTTACCCACCAGATACAAAAGGGTTTTTGGTTTTGACAGCAGAGCTGTAAGAGACCAGGCTTTCTAGGTTGATCAGGGTCCGGGCAGCTGGTTCCAGGAAGGACTCAGGAGTGTTACAGCGAGGTTTAGAATCAAGTTGAAGATCCTCAGCGTTTAGATCCGGACTATCCGTGGCTGGTTTAGCAGTGTGTTCAGAGTCTCCAAAAAAGTCCAGCTCTGCAAGAAAAATGTCGAACATTTAGCCGACAAGATTCTGGAATGGAAAACATAAGCCGCTCTAACGAATTTATAGTATTTTCAGTGCAGGTACATTATGAGTTATTTTTAACATTCATCTGAAATTATTTTTTTAAGTGACTGTCACACTTTTTTTAGATTTTCGGAGGTGTGAATATTATACGCCTTGTCTGTAAGGCTAGGTTCACACCTGCACTACGTTGCACGAGACCCGGGATGCGCGTCCCAGGTGTCGTGCGGTCCTGCACAATGCAGGCAGTGATTGCTGCGTGGCCCCATTGATTTAAATGGGATGACATCCCAGAAAAAAAGGTATATAGTACACGTGCTTCGTGCGATACACGAAGCACGGGCGGGAAACCACACGATCCGCCCGGCACGACTGGGGTGCCATTAGAAAATAATGGCACCCACAGGGCGATCCGGACACGCCTTGGCTAACCCTGACCTAGCGGCAATCCGCATGGAATCGTGCACGATTGCAACGAGGTGAGGTGTCGCCTAGGTGTGAACCTAGCCTAAAGGTTATAATAATTTGTCCAGGTCATGTAGTTACATTCTGTGCTACCATAGCAGCCTACTTAATTGTTGTTACTCATTGTACATTGTAACTTCCTGTATACCGCCCTTTTTGCTTAGTGTTAGATGGTTTCGCAAGACACTCCCAACCCCTCCATGCTAGAGTTAGTTTCTGTTTTACCTTTGAAGAGTACTGATATTTTAAGAAAGGAATGTATTTTTACCTAGGAGGAAACCCCAGAAAAAAATCCGATGCATTGCCAAGTTGAATAAAAATTATAATGGATTCTATTTTGAGTCTTCTTGGTGAGCTGACGCTGACTGTAGATCTTGTCAAGTCAGCAGGTTGCCACATTGTAAACCAAGATAGGGTCTCAGGAGGTATATCTTTTTCATAAAGCGACATTTGAGGCAGAAGACGTTCAACTGGACTTGTTCAACTGGACTGAAGATGTTTCACGTGGCTTCTTCAGCCCTTGCTACACTTCTTAGTAAAGGTGGCCATTCACTGTACAACCATCGCAAGAACTTGGTCTTGTGATGGTTGTAAAGGGATTAAAAAAACGTACGATCTGGCCATCTTGGACAGGCAGATCGTACTCTCGATCATCGCAAGCCCGCCCCCCTGAGAGGCGGGCTTCCGATGACCGCAATGCTGAACGGGCAGTGTGCGCGTGTGCACACCGGCCCGTTCGGCATTTGTCTCCCGAGCACCGTTCAAACCAGCCGAAAATCTACGATTTTCGGCTGGGTTTCTAGCGTGCTCCTTAGACAAAAGACGTGCGACCGTACAGTAGAAACGGCCGCACGTCTTCATTCACACTGCTCGATTCTCGCACGATCGCGGGATTTCCCGCGATTCTCGTACGAGAATCGAGCAGTGTATGGGCACCTTAAGTCACTGGGCAAAACACAAGTCAGGCATCCCAACACTTGCTGACTATCCATTCCATGTGCCATTGACTCACTCAAGTGGTGAATCAGGGATAAGTATGACAGTTCCAGACCACAAACCTCAAATTAAAGTGAGCTATGGTACTTTCCATACACCTAGACAAAAGAAGGGACTATCTAGAGAATCAACTATAGTGATGTATAAAGTGCAGAGCAGACTGGCAGCATGCCAACTATCCCACAAAAGTGCCGTGCCGTTTTGGCAATCTGGTCCATTGGGCAGATGGCTAATCTGATCTACTTTATGTCTTGCTTATTCTTAATTGAGAAAGCAATTGATATATCTATGAGTTACAATTTATGTAAACCCTTATAACAAGATTCTCTTATGTACACACTTTTGGTCTGTAAAATATACACTTGAAAAAATAAAGTTGATAAAAAGTAAAAATAAAATAAAAATAAAGCCTGAAAAAATTCTAATGCAACCACCATATTTAAGGACTGGTAAGCTGCAATAAATTGCATTTTGTTCTTGGTTTTAGATACGTCTTAAGTAGAAGATCCTTTAAAGCAAACTTAGCCCTGCATACAGGGCAACGTCATCTTACCCAAAGAGTTGTCTGTCTTGATGGAAGATGGTGATTGGGTGTCCTTGGTGGTCGGAGGTGGTACAAATATATCATACCTGGCTTCATTTGGACCTAATTATCAAAGAAGTACAACAAAATAAAAACAATGAACAATGGACTTTGACAGTAAAGCATGAGCAGAACTTTGACATGCTGAACCAACCAATCAGTTTTAGGTTTGGCTGTAATAAAAGAAAGGTTTCAAATAAAAAAGTAAAACACACCCCATAAAAAATATTAGTTTGAAAGCAATCATAAAGAATTCCACATATAGTAGACTTAGATTAGGTTATTAAAGAGGTCAGTCCACACAAAAAAAAGATTAATTAAATGTGGAGTCTACAAATGCTACCTATCACGTTTAAGCCCTGAAGAAGGGGGAGGTCTTTGAACCCCCGAAACACATTGGCTGTTCTTTGCTGTCCTTTATGAACCCATTCCATTATTAAACAATTTTGGGCTCTCATTCTGTCCTGTTTGGCGCCTCATTGGACTGTATACTGGACTGTATAATTTACATTGTGTATATCTTCCACGCTGGATTCCTTTGTGGGTGGGATGGCTCGTTTTTGTTGATAGCGGTCTCATGGGAGCCATTGTGCTTTATAGCATTCCAATTGATCTAGACTCATTCCCCTAACCAACCTCTCAGTGTCTGCAACCCCCCTCTGCCGATCCCTCCACTGGCTTCCACTCGCCCAAAGGATAACATTCCAAATATTAACAATCACTTACAAAGCCATCCACAACTCTGCCCCCGGATATATCTCAAACCTTGTCTCAAAGTATTACCCTAACCGTCCCCTCCGCTCTTCAAAAGACCTTCTGCTTTCCATCTCCCTTGTGAACTCCTCCTATGCTCGCCTCCAGGACTTCTCTAGCATCTCTCCCATCCTCTGGAACTCTTTACCCCAACCTGTCCATCTGTCTCCCGCTCTGACTGCCTTAAGGCAATCCCTTAAGACTCATCTCTTCAGGGAAGCCTATCCCGCCTCAACCTAACCGTTCAACTATCACATTCTCAGACAATTCATCCCCACACAGCTACCTCCTCAGGTATCACTTCCCCCTCCCTTTTAGATTGTAAGCCCTCAGGGGCGGGGCCCTCCTAACCATTTTGTCTTGAATTGTATTGTGATTGTAATGTCTTCCTTATATTGTAAAGCGGTGCACAGACTGTTGGCGCTATATAAATCCTGTGTAATAATAATATATGAAGCCTGTAAATTGTGTAATCAGTAATCAGTCTCACCTCTCTGCCGGTCACCCCACGGATCGGACGGAAGGCTTCTGGATACAGGAGGCGCCTCCCAGCCTGACGGCGAATCGCAGCTGAAAATGATGCTCTGACTTGCATTATCCGCCTTTAACTGAGTGCTGTGAGGAGTATCCCAAGGCAAGGAAGGGGAACTTGTACTAGAATTCTGATCTGTATGAATGATCACAAAGGTCTGTTATACATGACAGAATGTATTATATTGAACGTATATAATCACATAATAATTTACCCCTATATTTCAGCATTTAGAAAAGAAAGGGACTATTTTCTCAAGTTACCTTCTGTTCCATAAATGAGCTATTGCAGCTACTTATGTATTATTCATCGGATATTTGGCAGAAACATATTGTTTTTCTTCAGCGTTTTACTGAAGATCTCCAAGATCAGCTCCAGGCAAAGAATTTGTCTCCATGCTGGGCAGAGCAGAGCAGAGTACAATTACCCTACCAGGTCTTTAGTGGGACCCCAATATCTGTCATGGTTGTGACATCTCAGAGAACAATGAACCCTGCCCCACGCCGCCTGAAATATCTGTTTTCAATGAAGTTGCTTTCTAAAGGAATTCCATGCTCTTTTTGTGCGCATGCAATGTATTGCTCCCCAATGTATTGCTATTGTATTTCTGGGCTCTGTTCACTCCAGTACAGTCAGTACCGGTGCAGGGGAGAAATGCTGCTTGTCCTATTTTTTCTGGTCTGCAATGTACCAGAATGCATGTAAATGCTCTAGAAGGCACTGGAACGCACCTGAAAAAAGATTTTAAGCTAAAAAAAAACCCTGCACCAGAGCGCATCAAAAACGTGTCAAAAAGCACTGCATTGCATATACTGAAACGCATCCAGATCTGGTCCGGAAATGGTGTGAACAAGCCCTTAAAGTAAAATTGGCAACCTCTCACACCTTCAGTTAATTTCCCCCTCCCATACATCATCTGTCTTAACTACATGTACAGAACCGAACTAAAGGGCTGCTGTACGGGCTATTCACTATAGCCCGTACAGCAGCCGAAGGCAGCTGAGCGGCTCAGCCGAGCTGAATGCTTATGCTTCGGCTCGGCTTAGCTATAGTGACACGCCGAAGCTAACCTTTCTCCACACAAATGACAGCTGTGGGGAGCCAGCCGTGATCTCACGGCTCCCTCCGCCCAATTGTAATGACAGATCAGCGTCCCCAAATGACCTGGGGACACTGATCTGTCATTAAACAATAACAGCCGGGTGAAGCCGGCCGTGACGTTATTGTTGTTATTCAGTTGTAGTAGGGTGAAGGTGCTCTCCGCACACCTTTCAGCAATCCCGGCCAGTACGAAAACGATGGTGCTTGCAATAACTCCACGGATGGCACCGTGCAAAACGAACAATTGAAGAAATAGGTCACCAGCACTCAATAGATTCAAAAATAAATAAGTCCTTTTTATTGGACCATGGTGTCACGACAATCAAAAGAAGCCGACGTTTCGGGGCCACGCAGGGTCCCTTTCTCAATGCAGAAGATGTGTCTCAAGGCAGAAGATGAAGTCGTGACACCATGGTCCAATAAAAAGGACTTATTTATTTTTGAATCTATTGAGTGCTGGTGACCTATTTCTTCAATTGTTGTTATTCATTCGCCGGGACCTGCTAGAAGACTAGGTTGGCTCCGCCCAATTGTTTTTATTTTGCCAGCATCGGTCAGATGCTTCATTATGCAGTGGAGTCTGTCGCATGTGGTTGGGTCAGCCTACTTCTTTTTTTTTCTTCTTCTTCTTCTTCTTTCTTTTTAAATATATATTTTTCTTAATTTTCCTATTTTCGTAAATTTTTTTAATAATTTTTCAACATTTGTTTTTTTTTCACTAATTTCACTTTTTTCTATTCTGGTCATTGCCTCGGAGGTACCGAACAGAATTGCCGAGCTGAATGCCGATCGGAGGCATCCGGATATTCACTTACTGCCGTTGGCTGAGCCGGAGTCCTTCTGCACTTCGGCTCAGCTGAACATGCAAAACATGTTCGGCTGACTGAAGGCACCTGAAGGCAGTTGATGTACGACTGATTTTAGCTGATGTACGGCTGAAATCAGCCCGGACAAGGCTGAAGTGAATAACCGAACAGTGTTCGGCTCACTCCACTTCGGCTCGGTTATTCACTCGGCTGCCTTCGGCAGCTTTGTGAAAAACCCTCTAAGTCTTGCTTAAAGGGTCAATCCAAAAAAATAAGTTTTATCCAACTGGTGGGGCCTGGTGGGCTGAGTCAGCCCCTAGCTACTTATGTGTCTTGGATGCTCCTAGAGTGAGATCTCCCCACCATCATTGCTAATTCTCTTCCTGCCTACCTGGGAGTTTTTGGTGCTCCTGACCACTCAGGCTTGGCTCAAATCTGAGCGATCCCGGGATGTGCGGCCCCATTGATTTAAATGGGGTTACATCTGCATGACAATCACTGAAAAAAGGTACATGTACCTTTTTTTGCGACACACGGCTTTGTTAGCCGTGTCCAATTGCACGGCAAAATCCCGGTGGGAAACCGCGTGATCCGCCTGGCGCAACTGGGGTGCTATTAGAAAATAATGGCACTGCCAGCGTGACAGGCTGTGGTGGGCCACTCTGTGACAGCTCTGCAATTCGCACGGTTTCGTGCACAATTGTCGCGCGGTAACGGATCGCGCAGGTGTGAACCTAGCCTTACGTGTGCTCCAGTTTTTCCTGTTACATTTTGCATAATACAAATAAAATATAAAGTAGGGGTCACAAATACACAACAGGTATGAAGAGCCAGAAACTCAACGAATCAATCTCACTAATAGATTCCAAAAGATAACGAAGGGACCCCTCAAGGGGTTCAACTCTCTAACATCTACCAAACACTCTTTAAAATCAAGAGTATAATTTGCATAACTTGGTAATATCAGCTCAGTTATTGTCACCTTTAGTTATGTTTACATTTACCATCTTGGTTCCTAAGATGCCTTCCAAACAGTTTTAGATATCACTTACTTGTTGGTCCCCAGGCTGGAAACAAAGAGATTGTATTTGCTGATGGGAAAAAGCTGGCATGGTGGGAATCCCAGGTGTTTGAAGGAATTGACTGAGGTGGGCCAAATATATCAATCAGATCCGACATGTGCGTCTAGAAGATGATGAGTATACGTTATTAACAGCTCAAAATAGAATCTGATGTACATTTAATGTAATTTTACTGCGAGATATCACAGCCCTACTATGTATTAAGTAAAAGGGGACCGCTTAATAAGATTTCATTTTTTTGCATTCCCAACTCCAACCACATGCCTGTCAGGTTAATGCGCTTATGTGCATCTGATTTACATTAAACTTCCTGACCTGTTGTCTTTGTAATGTGGCAATGGGAACTCTGCCTGGGAGCTATGGTGTGCACTCCACAGAGCATATACCAGGTTGGCTCTCCCTAGCGGTAACAGTATTTCAGCTTTATGAGAGCGACTCACCCTTGCTACTAGATACTTTTGTTTGGCTTGCATTACACAAAATTAAGGAGGAGAAAAATAACCTCTCTTACCATAGGCATGGTGGGAATATTCCAGAGGGAGGTCTAACCCTTTGAGTTCCCAAGGAAGAAGGTGATTGAGCACACCAGTGATCACAAATCATTGTTAGATCATTTTTAACGGGTTTCAGGTACTTGAGGTTTGTGTACAATTGCACGCAACTGACTGCATTGCAATACTAGAAATATATTTTTTATTTGTTCAAACAAAATCCTAGGCTTTCCAGTAAACTTAATTGTGGTGCAAGTATGTGATGGAGCTCCATATAAGCTAGAAGTATCCAAAACACACAGAAGCTTAAAGTGGTTTTGTACATACCAGGCAAAGCAACAGGTTCACTTTAATGTCCCCATCCCTGGCACCACATAATCCCCTTTTCTTCACTACCTTGCTGCTCTTTTCAGCTGCCGAGAACAGAACTAAGTTCAACATTCCTCATGTTGTAGCATACATAGAGCTATGGACTCTACCCATGTGTTAGCGGATCACTCCAGTGTTTTCTCTGCACACAGAGGATTGGTACATATCACAGATATTTACTGATCCTCCGCTCTCCATCCTGAGCCCCTCGGCTACGCACAGAGAGACAGTATAGCCTGCAGCTTCCTCTTGCATGCCTGCTGCACTCCCCACCTGTATGGGCAGAGGCAGCAGGGATCCAAGGAGAAGTGAAGTGCTGAAGCCGGCGGGGGGAGGAGGAGGAGGAGGGAGCGCTGTCACTTCAGGATGGACGAGGGGTGAGGAGAGAGAGCCGCCGGCTGTCAGATCCTGGCCCGAGCTGCTCTCTCTCGCCTCACCGCTCGGCCATCCTAAAGTGACAGCTTTCTCCTCTGACCCCCCTGCCAGCTTCAGCGTTTCACTTCTCCTCGGATCTAGTCGCCTTACCCTAGCTATGGCCCAGGGAGGGAGAGCTACCAAAAGGAAATTTTAATCAATTGACTGGAGTTCAGCTTTCAGTGTGTATCTACACCTTAAAACTTGCCTTGATCATTTGCATAATAACAGGTAAGCAACAAATAACAAGTATGATCAGGTTAATATAAGGTATCTGTAGTCCAGATAATTACCTCCTTCTCGGTTTCTGGCTCCCCTCTCTCCGCTGACAGCTGTGTCTCTTTCAGAGCCTTCTCAATTATTGATATCTCTCCTTGATGTGACCTCATCTCCTAAATGAAGGACAGTTTCTGTTAGAGACATGCCAAGTTGAAGGAGCACATTCAGCAAATAGAGTAAAAGGAAAGCTGCCAGGAGAGAAACAAGGAAGCTGCCATCAATGCCCTACTTCTTCTAGGTGCTGTCAGGGTGATCCCCTGGCTTTTGTGCTCTCTGAGTCACTGACACAGATCGAGGAGGCAGTTGAGTGAGAACTAGGGTTACCATACGCCCCGTATATTGCGTGTGCACACCACTGATATATTCACCCCCTGTTCCTTATTTTACCAGAACAAAGGTGGAAACCCTAGTGAGAACTGTTGATTAACTTTTTAAATCCAGTGACTTGAAGTACCAAAGCCAGATGATTAGTATGGCAGCCAAGCAACTAGCATAAGGAGGCCAGCAAATGGCGGCAATGAGTTCCATTTATGGCAGTTTTCCTTGAAATTATGTTCAGCCAAAAAGGTGCAAGGTTGGAGGTAAGTAGGCCTGTGAAGGTTCTCATTCATCCAGGTCATGGTATAGCCGTAAAAAAATAAATCAAAGCAACTGGACTTGCTGTATTTTTCTTGAGGTCGTCTAGCTGGTCATCCGACTAGCTTTCTCAATTGAAAAAGTCTGAATTGGTAAAGCTAGTCAGATGACTAGTGAAACATCTTCAAGAAAGATACAGCAAGTCCAGTTGCTTAGATTTATTTATTTACAGATATTGGAGGTAAGTAGTTTGGACCACATAATACATACCATTTCATATTCCTCTTTACTTTTATTCAAAGCTGCTTGTAATTGTAGTTCTTCCTCGTGATCAGGAGCTGAAGGTTCTTTTCTCTGCAATGAAGGAGTAAAGGTTTATTATACTCATGTAAACAGTAAACTGAAGCACAATGGCAATCACTTGGCAAATGCAGGGACGTGCGGTGAGGTCAGTGGCAGGTGAGGCACCCCCCGGCCTGCCCATGGGCATGCATACATTTTGATTGCGAATAGTAGCTCCAAGTGGGTGATTTAAGCTTGAGACTTGCTGGACTGCAAAGAGTAGCTAATACATCTAAGGATTTGTAAGCTGGTAAGCTGCAATATGTTAACATTTTTTTGGAGGGTTGCATATGTTTTAAAGACAGACTCAGAGACTGGAGGGGCTGCATGACTGGGGGGAGGAGGAATAGTCTCTGGATAAGGGCTTAAAATAAAATGGGGATTAGCTGATCTTACCTGATTGGAGGTTGGGGTCAGGTGTCCGGGAGGAGCTGCATGGGTTGGGACTGCAAGGGCTGAGGGGCGTTCTTTGCGGAAAGTTAACAGAGGAAGCAGGTTGTCCCAGCTGCCCTCCCTTAATTTTTGTGATGTCTGGTGGGTACAATGTCCTTTTTTTTATGTCACGGCAGCTTGGCGGGGGACAGGGGGCTCTTTGGAGGGTCTGAAAATCTGAGTTAGTCACACAAATGGCGGGCTATCAGCTGGTATGGGTGCTTCCCCATGCTGGTGTCAGTATTTGTCGGGGGGCCCCTTGGAACTTGGGAGCAGTAACTGCCCTCGTGTTGGGTGGGGTGCAGCTGGGTACATAGGAGCAGTTGCTTAGAAGAGGCCTTATTTGGGCTGTTGGGCACCCAAAGACCCCTTCTCGGTTCCAACAGTCGTTAAGATTATTCATTTGTATATTATTTTGTTTATTACTGTGGTTACTGTTGTTAATGTTGGTTTGGTTAATGAAAGGGCTGCTGTGGCCATTGAAATCCATGTCGCTCAGTCTGTGTTTATTGGGGTTTTTAACAGAGGGACGTAATAGACGAATCCATCAGTCATGTTCTTTTCCTACCTCAGTCCTGAAGGATTGTCATATTGCAGGTGGTGTGCCAATGATCAACCCACCCATCACAGGGGCTTAGGAATTGGCACCGTCCTCCACAACAACCACTCCTTCCACCAAGACCTACCCCTGCCTGGTGAATTCACTGTGGCTGTGAATTCGCAGTATGGAATACTACAATCAAATCTTTATCAGTAAATTCTGGAACTTACCTTTTCAGCTTCTTCTCTGCTCATAGCAAGGGCAAGCTGGAGCTGGAGCTCCTCTTCTCCTGTACTCTGAGGTCTAGCTTGTTCCAGTTCCGTGGCCGTGGAAGGTTCTGAGCTATCTGAAGCTATAACAAAAATATGGAATGTGTTGATCAAGCTTTCCAGAGCAGTGGTAGCCTTGCTAGGTTCTATTGGCTATTGGGTCTTTGGATAATTACATCCGAATGTCCAAATTTCCGAAAATTCGTCCGAATTTCGATTTGGAACGAAACGAATCGCACATGTCTATTATAAAGTGATCTGCCCTCTGTCCTAAAGTGGTAGTGGTAACGAAATATCTGAACCGAACCAAATTTTTCCGCAGCTTACATGTTTAATCCTTTATAAGTTACCTTCATTGTAGCGTATCCTGTGCCTGCTGTCAAGGGCTGAAGTTACTTGTGACATCCTTCTCCTTGTAGTCTGAGCCTGGGTCCTCTCTTGTTTAAGCTTTTCTTCATCTTTCAGCAAAGCTACGATCACCTTGGCCTTCTCCCTCACGCTAATCCCCTGGTCCCTCCCATCACGGTCAAAGAACTGAAAGTCTTTCAGAGTCTGTACAGCGATGACATTTTCCTGACACTCCTGGACCACCTTGTTTGATCCATTTTTGATCAAGTAGTCCAGCAGGGTCAGACCTTTATACACATGGCGCCAGTTCTTTCCGCTGTCGTTCAGCCTCCTCCAGACCATCATCATGACCTCAGGGTGCATTTCTGCACTGTAAGTCATTTGAGCTATTTCGGACATGAGGGTAGCAGAAGGACCCCAGGGGTCGTTTGAGGTGGCCTCCCGCACTTTCACTTCGGCATAAGTGTAGTTGTGAACGATGTTCTTCACTTGGCGTCGTAAGGTTGCCATCTTGGAAGCTGCACGTGCTTATGAAATAGTTATATTCGCCGCCCTGCCAAAAACTCTGTTTTCTAAGCCAGTTGGGTTTGAAATATCTATAAAACAAGAAATGAAAAAATAAAATTGTTATATTATAGTAATACAAAAACAATGTTTTATTGCGTACATATACTGTATACACACACACACACACACACACACACACACACACTTAAT